AAAATTGCATCAATTTTAGATAGGTGGTGGTTGAGATATCTTCGGAAAAACTGTCAACTTCTGCTTTGATAGTTATCTCAAGTTTTTTCTAAACTTCAAGCAAAATATCTCAATTACCACTTATCTAAAATTGATAAAAATTTTTTTAATTATATAAGCATATAGAGTCAGAATAAAAAAAAAAAATTGAAAAAAATTTAGTGACTGTTCAAGTAGAATATCTTTTTTTTTAACATGGCTAGAGTACTATATACTTTTAGGCATGCTCAAAAATTTTTCTGTGCCTTAACCCTACAACCAATTTAATGCAGTAGTTTCAAACAGACTGCACCAGGGTGTAGGATCGATTTTCTGGTCGAGATCAATTGGCCAATTAAAAATCTGAATCTGGTATAAAATATAAAAAAATCAAAACAAACATTTGCTTTGCAAAAATCACATTTATTTCAAACTTTTATTAGCTGTTAGTGAACCACCTTTGGGGTTCTAATAAAAAAAAAATTCCTTATGCAATTTTACTATTAGATAGTTCTTCTATAGGCATCAGGAAATCATATCAGAAAATCAAACACGATATACATAATATTTATTGTATTCACAATATGTAAAACTTTTTATTTATTTTAAAAAAATACTTTAATATATATTAAAATAATATATATATATATAAATATATATATACAAATATATATATATATATAAAAAAAAAATATATATATATATAAAAAATATATATGTATGTATACATATTTAAAAAAAAAATTAAACGGTTTTTTGCCATTTACTTGCTTCTAACTCATTGACATGTTCTTCAAGATGTGATACCCTTTCAATTAATATCAGCTCATTGGATATGGGCAGTTCATTAGATGCGGGTAGACCAGATCGAACATACTACGTATTATATAAATATGAATACATACATATTAATATTATTTAAATTTAGATAAAATAAAAATAACAAATACTATATTTATCTTTATGGGAATTTCTTATGTAAAAGGAGAATTATAGTAGGTAGCTTCTTTAAATTTTATGATACAGTTGGAGAGCCCTTTAAATAGCAGATGCACTTCCATATTATAGAAAAATTGCTAGCATGTTTATGCTTGTAAAAATGCAAATAGCCAAAATTAAAACATATTTTTAGTATATACCAACTATAAAATTTTAATTAATGCAAATGAAGTTAAAGATATTTACATTTTGCCAGTTTTGCGAAAGTGAGAAAACTTGTAAGGGATGTTATCCCTAAACTACTTTTCAAACATTTCTTTATTAATGTCTTTAGTAACATTAATAAGAGACACTAATACAGTCTTTCGGGGATCGCCACAGCACGAATGAGATCCTATATGCAAAAAAAAAAAATTGATATTTCTACCTTTATAAAAAAAAATTGAAAACAATTGTCAATTCCTTTTCTAGATTCGTAGATTAAAATATCTTAATTTTTTTACAAAGGTAGAAGGCACTCCGTTAAGAAGAGGGTTCTGCAAGGAAGAAAGGCACTCCATAAGAAGAAAGTTTCGTAGGGAAAAAAGATATTCCATAAGGGAAGGTTTTGCAAGGAAAGACACTCCGAAAGAAGAGGTTTTGCAAGAAAAAAGATATTCCGAAAGGCTCAAGGCATTCCACATAGAGAGAAATATATTCTGACAAAATCAAGTAAGAAAAAATTCCTACCTGAACTTATTGGTGACTTCAGAGGTATCTTGCTTTGGGGCATCTTGGTGCTTTGCTTTGGGGCGTCTTGGTGCTTTGGGGCGTCTTGGTGCTTTGGCGTCTTGATGCTTTGGGTGAAAGTTTATATTTCTGATTGACACAACAAAAAAAAAAAATATTTATCTCGATTTTTTTTTTATAGCTGACTAATTAAAGTAGACATAATGTGACTTGACGTAACAAGAAAATTTTCTTGTTTACATCATCAATTGGAAGTTGCCTGGGCTGCCCCAACTATAGATGAGGCCCAGATTAACTTTCTACCAAAATTATAGATTGAATTTAGGCTGGCATTAAAAAATAACAACTGGGATCTTTGTCATAAAACCCTAGCTAAAAAATTTCGCTATTAAAAAAAGCTTTATTAACACCAAAATTTCATAATGAAAACTTTTTGTTAGTGCAGTTTCATAGGTAAAATGTTGAGCTATGAATGACATTTCGTTTGTTTCAATTTTTCTCATTTCTTCTGCATTACACCTGATCTTGAAATCTGATTAGGCTAGTGAAATTTTTTAGTGATTATGAAAATATTCCTCCGAGGCTATGTTGATTTTGTGATAAAAATTAAATTTGCTAGCCATCTAGTTATTCAATTTGAATAAACTTTTTTTTATTTTGTGAATCTCAATAGAATCTACAAATTAAAAATAAATAAAAAACATTTATTCAACTTGGATAACTAGAAGGTTGTCAAATTTAATTTTTATTCACAAAATTAATATAGCTTTGGAGGGTTATTTTCATAGCAAAGATCGATACCAGCCCACTCCAGTGTATTCCAACTCATAATTTTGACCAATCTTCTAAATTTGGTTGCACCACTAATCTCTTTATATCAAATGCTGTATAAGAAATTTACACTTTTAGCTCGTTTGTTGAGCATATTTATAATACGAATAATTTTCGTAAACACAATACAAGAGAATAAGTTTATTGATCGCTGAAATAAATTAACATGACAATTGATAACATTACTATATCGTTAATTTTTCCATGCTTTTTTTGTATTGATATCGAAAATATATGCTGTGCGCAATAAAATTACTTTTTCAAATCCTATAAAAATAGAAATTTGTTATTAGTATATTGAAGAACAAGATAATACTATCAATCATCTATATACCTTATTTATTCATCCTTTTCAACTACAATTCCTTCATCATAACAATATTCAACATTAGAAGTCTTACTAGCATTACTCATCTTTGCTGATATTAGAAAATAAAGTTTTGCTTTATATTTATCCTTTTCGACACCAATTTCTTTGTCATAATAATATCCAACATTAGACATCCCACTAGTGTTACTTATCCTTGCTGATTTCAGATAATAGATAATTGCTTTATATTAATCCTTTTAACTCCAAATCTATTAAAACAACAATTATTTTATATGTATCCTATCTCTAAAATAAATAAATGTATTATGTTCATTATTTTCAATTCAATTTCTTCATTATACTAATATCCAACATTCATCTCTACTAATTTTAGATAATAAACAATTGCTTTATGTTCATCCTTTTTAATTCTAATTCTATTAAACAACAATTTCTTACCTGGGCTTATATATTTTATCAGCGTTCTGTATCTCTAAAAACGAATAAATTCCTTATGTTTATTCATTTCGATTTCAATCCTTCGTTATATCAATATCTAACATTAAATATTCTACTAACGTCACTCATCTTTGCTGATTGAATGTTCAATTCCATTAAATCAACAATAATCTTTTATCTGGATTATATGTTCCATTAGCGTCCCCCATCTTTGTGAATGTTTGAAAGTGAATGAATGCCTTATGTTTATTATTTTCAACTCCAATTCCTTCGTCATATCCAACATTAGATGTTACACTAGTATCACTCATCTTTATTGATTTTAGATAATAGATGATTAATTGCTTTACGTTAATCTTTTCAAATCCAATTCTATTAAAACAACAATTTTCTTACCTATACTTCTATGTTCTATCAGTGTTTTCCATCTCTGAAAATAAATGAATACATTATGTTCATCATTTTTCAACTCAATTCCTTCATTATAGTAATATCCAACATTCAATGTTCCACTAGCATCACCCATTTCTGCTGATTTTAGATGATAAATGATTGCTTTATGTTTAATCTTTTCAATTCTAATTCTATTAGACAACAATTTCTTGCCTGAGCCTATATAATTCATCAGCATTCCACATTTAAAAATAAATAAACGCCTTATGTTCATCCTTTTTAACTCCAATTTCTTCATCAGAATAATATCCAACATTAAGTGTTCTACTAACATCATTTATTTCTGCTGATTGTTAATAATAGGCGAATGAGTTATGTTTATTTTTTCAACTCCAATTCCATTAAATCAACAATAATCTCTTACCTGGATAATATATTCCGTTAGCATTTTCCATCTTTGTAGATTTTTGAAAATAAATGAATGTCTTATGTTCATTCTTTTCAGCTTCAATTCCTTTGTCCTATCTTTCTATTACGATTCAAAGAAGTCAATGTAGATTCTTACAAAGTGTATTTGTTAATGTCTAATGATAAAATCTACCAATCCACCAGAAAAGGTTCCAGGCCCAAAACATACTGTCGAAAAATCTACTAGAAAGAATACCAAAATTAACAATTTCAAGAACCAAAAGACAAAGTTCATCTGGAAAAGAATTCAAAATGCCAGCTCCAAAAACTTGCTTCTATCAACGACAATTCCAAAAATGACGATGACTTTGATGGCAAAATCACTTAAAATACGTATAAGAAATAAAATTTATTCTCTATATTATTAAGAATATTTTTTACATATTAATTCAGCATACTGCCTATGAATATTTTGATGCAATGAATTAGTTTCGTGTTAACAAAGAATAAAGATGCAATTTAAAAATACCAGTGCTTATCAGTATGTAGCGGTAGTGTGGATATCCACCAGTTTAATTTTATTATGTATAAAAACCTGGATATACAAAATTTTAACATATAAATACACATGTATATATTAATCTATGTAAAATTTTTTTAAAACAAATAGACGCTTTTTGTATCTTGTATCAGTGATCTAAAAATCAGCAATACGTACGTACGTATCATATGATTTTAATAAATTTGATTGGCTTAACAAATTATTACATGTTTATTGTATTACATTTAATGAATTTGATTGGTTATATTATAATATATATATAGATAATCAACCTAGTTATGTGCGAATTCTTCAAGAACTTTTTTCGGAATTTGATGATAAGAGCGATATTTCTTTACTACAAAGGCAGCAACCTTTCCAGAAAGTTCAAGTTTATAGACACTCATAAAGCGTTCAAAATGACGAGCAAAGCGACAAATCTTTATTAAATTAATAGAGTTTAATACTCTTGAAACAGTTCTTTTGAGGCCCCTAAAGCTGTAATCACAATAAAGTCTTGCAACATGTTTTGCTTTAGCCCAAAAAGATTCAATATAGTTAAGTTTATAATGAAACTTAGGGTAAAAGATGCACATATGACTAGCTGCTTCAATTATCTCTTGTATATGTGATCATTGTGATGCAAAATCAGATTGAGCAGAAAGAATACATGTGGCACAATATTTTAGATCTTTCGGATCAGGTCTATGTTTTTTGTATGCATTACACTATTTTATAAAACCTTGTACCCATAAATCATATTCCTCAAGTACTCGTCACATTCCTTTAGGTCTTATCACACCTTTGTCATCTATATATGTCATTATGTGTAGAGAACCATCCGGCTTAATGCTATTATGAAGAAGTGGCATTTTAGTACCATCACCCATGTTCATTTGTGAGACCAATAAAGCATCTTTAGCAAACACACTATGATTACTACTATTATCAAATATAAACTGTGCTATTTTATTAGGGTGTGTTCATTCAAATATTGGAATAGCACGTTCAGTTAGTTGATTAATAAGATCATTGCATGTCTACCAACCATTTTGATTTGAACCTGGATAAATAATAATACAGGCTTTGGTATGTTTAAGTTTAATATGCGAATCATCAGGAAGCAGATCGTTTACACAACGTTCATACTCTGAAAGTTTGAGACATCCAATTGACTAACAGATGAAATCGCTAACATGTATGCTAAGTTCTTGTGACTTGTTACGAAGCATGTTTTCATCTTTTAGACCCCAAACCTTGTGCATACCATCATTGGTATAAAATGGAGTTTCATTATGAGTGACAGAGACTATTTCACGAACATCAGGAGGAAGTCTTGGTAAGATAACTTGATCTAAATTTTCACCTTCGTAAGTGGTCATTCATGGTCGTAATTTATCCATCTTTGCAAAAAGTAGTTTCTATATTTGACCACATCTTCGCATTCATGACCGTCATAATAAATAGTTTTTGAATAGCCTTTATATTTTTATCCAAGTAAGTTTAGCTATCTACATGCAGTTGATCTACTAATAGTTTTTCTCTCCATAATTCTAAAAACAGAAATAGCGATGTTTTGTATATAATTTATGAAATTTTGAATAGTTAAGCTGAACTTATTTTCTTTCAAATACTGTTCAATGCTTAATCGGAATTGTTTGTTATATAAGAGAGATTTTATTTTTGTGTGTTTGCCACGCTTCGACGCTATTAACTTTTTATTAGCTTTTCATTGGTTTGCCCAAGTACAAATAAGCCATGCAAACCATGGACCTTTACCAAGACTTTCCACCAAGAGTTTACTCACATACATTTTAGTGAAATGTTGATTTTTAACAAGACGGAGATATTGTCTTGTTGTATTAAGGCGTAAATAATCAACAGTTTCAGTTTTTAATAGTGTATCTAATGATGATATAAAATCATCATCATTAGCACTACTACAGGGAGTTTTATTAGTGCAACTACGGGGAGTCTTATTAGTGCTACTATGGGGAGCCTTATTAAATAAGCTAATGGATTTCGATGCTGTAGATTGATTTTTATTGATGGATTCAAATACTGGAGGTTCATTATTTTTAGACGAAGCAGTATTAGTCGATTTAACATGTTGTGAAGATGATTTATTTTTCTATATATGGTAGCAGCTTTCTTGCAATATCTTGTACGTCTACTTTGTTTTGGCATTTTTTTTTTAATTTATTTTTGTTATTTAAATCGCAGGTTTCATTGAGGTATACTATGTAATGAAGTTAAGTAAATCTAATCTGATATGTAGAGTCTTTTTATATATTTACAGCAAAGATCTTTTTCAAATTTTAATATATAGCTGCTCTGCCTTGTTTAGTATGTTGAAAGTGGGTCAGAGATAACCTTAGTTTGCATAAAGAGTGCTTCTTCCTGTATTGCGAATACAAAGTAAAATTTTTAATTATAATATAATTGAGAATTTTGCTTTGTACGTATGTATTCGCAACACATGAAGAAGCACATTTATCTCGAGAATAAATCAATCTCTAATGACACTGATTATATGTACGTACATATGTATTAGTTTATTTTTGATGGCTTATTGCGATCTCATGCAAACACGACTACGTATATAAAATTGCATCAATAGATTTCAATGTCAACGTTGTGATTTTAGTGTGATTCAAGCCAAAATCTACCCAAAACCAGTTTAAAAAATACATGCATCAATCAGGTATCAATGTGTACGTAAGCATCAATGGAATATTATCTAGTTCTGATTGATACCTACGTATGTATTGATGCCGATTGACCTTTAGAGCCAAAATCTAGCACAATGGGAATGTCTATCGGCACCTTATTATATATGTTGAAGGAGAAATACATACATACGTATACAAATCAAGGCTTTTAGACATGAAACGGTTTGGTGTATCATAGATATTTTATACGTAGAAATGACCCAAGTCTATATTATACGTGGGATTATGTAAAACTTTAATACAAAAATCAAAGTTTTCACATGTTATGTATAAAGATTTTACGTCAACTATTAGTGCTAAGATATTGGAAAAACAATGCTTAGAATGCATCATGAGGTAAAATGAATAATTTTGAGAATTCGGTTATTGGCTAGAGAGTACAAAGAACGAACAAGTGAATTAAGAAAAAGAAAATAATAAAACATTTGCATTTTATCTTGATAATTTATCATGATGATATGATGTAATTTATTTGACTACCGTTATAGCGATTTTTAAAGTATCAAATTTAAAATTGCTATTAAATTTATCGATTATTACAGTATCAAATTTAGAATCAATTTAAGTTGCTTTTAACTTTCATATCAATATTTGGAATTCCGTTTCAACCTAAGTAGATTCTAAATTCACAATAATTCCATTCTGATGTATAACATATATACATAAATATTAAATTCTAAATACATAGGCAAAAAATATTAAACTCTAAATAAATTTACCAAACTATTTAAATTTATTATTGTCAAAATTCACCTTTATTGACTCACCTTGTGATCTAAATCTAACAAGGATATAGAATGCCTTTGAAATAATTATTACAGTAAGTTTCTATTATTTGCTTTAAGAAATATATAATTTAATTTCTAAAATATTGATTCTGTTTTTAGTATAATATACTATCTTATTTTTAAAATTTATATAGCATTCAACTGTATCGCAAGTAGTAAATCCAAGATTACATATGATAATCCATACAGCCTGTTACTTCTTAAACAAAAAGATTCATTGTTACTATGATAACCACACACTGTTCGAAGTTGATTTTTCAGTTAACATCACTTTCTAGAACTCAGGGGTAAAATGAAACGAACATATAAAAATGAAATATGGCCAATCGATGTAAATCAAGTGAGAGGGGATGATGTTAACCGAAGAATTAACTTCGAACAGCAAAAAAAATCAAATTTTTGTCGTGTAAAATAATTATTATAAATATCATATGACCTATAATTTTGAAAATAAAAAAAATAAAAGTGCAATAATTCTAGAAAAACCAAATTTTATTTGTTCTAGAATATGTAATATCTTTTTTTGTAATACCAAACTATGTTTTGATATACAATTTGTGTAATCAATTCTAATATAGTGATGATCTGACCACTTTTGCCATATAAGATATATTAAAATTATGTTATGTTTTTTTTAAATTGTATCTCCTCAATAAATAAATTCAAATTTGCAAAAAAAAA